CCGAGAAATAATTAGTACTGACTTGATTATAGATCTATTTTCATATAAAACTGGTTAATTATTATTTTATACCTAGCTAAGTATCAATTTTTGCCCAGCTAATTACTAACTTTTGCCTAATTATTGCCTGGTTAAATACCAATTATTATCTGGGTCCTTTTTATTCATAATCAGTAAAAAGTCAAATTGCGATTAGTTTTTTTTCTTTGAACATAATTCTCTTCGATTATATGGCACCAATACGTACTTTGTATAGTGAATCTACTGATGCCAAAAATTTTCAAGGACGTGGATATAAATTAGATAGTAGAGAACGTGAACTTGAATCTCAATGCAATGAGTTGCTTCTTGAAACTGAATTTTTTGCTAATAAATGTTCTGAATTTAGAAATGCTAAAGCTCTTGCAGAAGCACAATCTGATGTGATTACTAAAGAGCTAGAGAAATAAAGTCTAAAGTACTAGTCCTCAAGGAATACCTTAGATGATTTATTTTAAATAGATATATATGAATAAGTTATATAATTAATAAATCGAATAAATGTGTATGGGTATTAGATAAGTTGTGCATTATTAATTTGACGCATTTCTTCTCTAACTGCCCATAATAATTGGTAATGCTCAGCTAATTGCTTGGCCGTCATACCATCTGGTCGGTACATAAATTCAATGTATAATTATACAAGCTTGAATTTTCTTACCAATTTCTCTGGCACGTTCGGCCTTTTTGATAGCATTCTGCATCCACAATCCATATCGATGTAATGCATACTTACTGTCATAATCATATCCGGAATTAGATTCTTGTATAATTTTCAAATATTCTTCATAATTTACACCACAGTATTTATTCCCGGTACATGAAAATTTCCAATGTCTTTCCATTCCTATATGGTTATAATTTCCTATATTCTTCTTTCTTTGTCCAGTATATACTAACTGATCACAAGAGAAACATATTGCTATTCCGATTTCAGGAGCATATGAACCACTATTCGGCAATCGTATTAATCTCCTAGCTTCGAGGTATTTTTTACTTTCAATAGATAATAGATCATTCTCTCTGAAATATGTAAGACGTTCCCAAATCCGTTTCATCCACTCACTGGGAGTTTCATTATCACGAATTTGTGGCATATTACAATATTCAATCCATTCAGCATCAGTACAATCAGTTCCACGAGTGTTTATTCCAACCATTTTACGACTTATTATAGTGTGTTTTAGATTTATATCCTATTTAGGGATTTATTGCGAAGCAATGATGATGCAGAGCATAGAATCTTCGATTCCCCTTCGGGTCTAGACCGGATTTAATAACTTTATCCTCTAGAATAATGCAATTCAATTTTAATGAGATTAGATTCTCGAGTTATCTCCCAGATCTGGCTCAAAATAATTTGTAAAAATATTTTACACTTAGCTTTATTCTGAGAAAGTGGCAGTCGGGATAACATTTACGAGAGCAAAAATTTGTGGTTCTGGTTATTTGTTCATAATAAGTGAAATCTCATTCGTTCTTTTCAACCCCAATTCCATTTTGATAACAATACTCATCTTCATATGTTCGATACTGGGAAAAATTTCACTTGCACCGTTCCTCGTATTCGAGTTGTACCCCATATAAAAAATTAAGAAATAATATTAAATTATATTTTATGCGATCCAGCTAAATCACCCAATTGATTATTTTTGCGGACTGAACAAACCACCCAAGTCAAAGTACTGAGCCACCAGAAATGATGATTATGCCCTTTCGAATACATAACATACAAAGCCAGAGGCCCTATCGTCAAGAGGTGAAGACTCAAGCGAAATTTTTTGCATAACTATATATACCCGTAATATACATGGGTGCCTAAATTATTTTTGAAAAATCGTATTTTCGGCAAACATTTCGGCATTGCTAAATTTTTTATATGAAACCCTTCGAAATAACTATATTATATGATGTATTTTGATGAAAAGAGTTCAAAAAATTTCGGCAATAATTTCGGCAAATATGAAAATTAATTTCGGCATTATATAAGAATAATTTCGGCTGCCTAAATGCCGTAATTACTTTTTTATTAAGATGGGCAATTTAGGCACCCATGTATAACCCGTAACAAGTAACCTGGGCAGTCGATCTATCAACGCAATGGAATCTGGTGCAAGAAAATAAAACCGTATTATTTACCCAATTCATCTGCGTGTCATAAAATTTTCAGATTAGATTGTAAATGATAATATCGCAATAGATTATATACTTATGTAAATTTTGAGGTGGATACATTCAAACTATTTCTTATCTTGTAGTTCGGTGGACTAACCACGGGAAGCTCGTTCGGTCTTCCTCTCCTTACAACAAGACAATTATAGTTGACGATCGCGCCCTCTAAAATTGGGGTTTGAAGGCTTGGAATAATATGTAATTCAGATTAGAAATAGTAAACTTATATTAGAGATTGTTATAGAAGCTACATGTAATAAAAAATAAATGCATTCTAAAAAATATATCAATAATAAAATGCAGATATATTGGAAATCCTCTATAAATCATCGTAATCGAACTAGAACAATTAAGGATATGCAAATACTTGCAGAAAAAAGGGAGGGCTTTTGTATTTCAAATGAGTATATTAATAGACAAAATCCTCTTGAATGGCAGTGTAAAAAAGGACATAAATGGAAGGCCTCACCTAAGGATATTATTAAGGGAAGTTGGTGCAGACAGTGCCGATGTCTTAATATTGATATAGCAATTAATATTGCACAAGAACGGGGTGGTAAATGTCTTTCTACAGAATATAAAAATTCAAACACACCAATGCTTTGGCGTTGCATCAAAGGACATGAATGGTATGCCCCTCTTACACGAATAAAAGATAAAAAAAGATGGTGTGCGCAATGTGCTGGTATCAAACCTTGTGGTCTTGAAGCTTGTCAGGAGATTGCATACAGTAAAGGCGGTGCATGTCTTTCTACTGAATATAAAAATCTTAATGTTTTAATGCAATGGAAATGTGATAAAGATCATAAATGGTTTGCAAGTTTTAATGGTATAAAGCATGCCAGATCATGTGTCCATATTGCTTAAACAAACACGAAAATCTATGCCGTGACATTATAACAAATATTCTTGGCCCACCCTCTGGTATCCGCCGACCAGATTTCTTGAAAACACTGGAATATCCTCGAGGATTAGAGCTTGATATCTACTATCCACAACATGGGTTAGCTATAGAGGTACAAGGTATACAACACAGGCAATATAGAAAACGCTTCCACAAAAATGAGAAAGACTTTGAGAAACAATTGATCCGTGATCAACTTAAGAAAGAACTTTGCGAAGAAAATTGGATTGTCTTAAGGTATGTTTGGTACTACGAAGACCCATATATAGTTATTCCAGAGCATCTTCGAGAATTGGGTCTTATTAAGTAAACTTAAAACTTCATTTGTTGTTATGACTACACCCGAGAAGACTATTCTATAAAGGATAAATTGCATATTTTTTGCGGACCAGACGATCACCTTTACCTAAGTACTGGGCTACCTAAGGTAATTATGAGCCCGTTGAGTCTCACAACATGCATAGTCAGAGGCCCTATCGCTCAATATTAGAGACGAAATTTTTTGCTTGACTAAGCATACCCGTACGAATAGCTCCGGCAACTGTCTTATCGACACAAAACAATCTAGTGTAAGAAGGTAGAATATCGGTAAAAAATTTCAGATAGAAAGCGGAAAAAAAAGATTTTATATACATATTTATTTGAGCCTTATGCACGTAGTGCTCAAGGAATGTTTCAAGTTGGTTATTGTTACGTGGCTTGTTATATTTGGTGTTGTATTAATAGCCTCGATTATCCTAATGGTATGTTTATTTTTAAGGGGCGGATTACCTGGTAAGCCATAAATATTTGTACATCCAGGCCATAGGACACTGTCGAATTTTCGATGTTCTATGCAGTATTAGATATCGGATGTTCGATCAACATACGATTACATCATACATGCAGAAGTTCCCTCTTTATATAGTTTCGGACGTAATACCAATTCGAGTTAACTGCTCTGTAGATGTAGTGAAGATACGATGAAGGTGCGATGTAGGTGCGATGTAGTCACGGTAAACTTTTTTTATATATAATTGTATAAGAAATAAGCGTATCTCAGTTGGCATCGCAACCGCCAACTTATGATGGAGTGTGCTGGAAAATTAAATCATATGCTTGCACGATAGATCGGCTTTAATAACAATAGCGATAAATTTTATGCGGTGTGCATAATAATAGCCTTTTTTAGATGGTATGTTTATTTAACAAGCCCTTAATATTTGTGTAGCAATAATTTAGGGCTGTCGAATTTTTGATATTCTACGATAAATAATAAATGTTTAATCAACGTATAATTTATAATGAATATTCGAAATTTTTACTATAACAGATGTCATAAAATAGCAAAAATATATTGTAAACATATACAAATTTAGAACAAGGGCTGTGGATACGTATTCGTGGAATAGGTGGCTTCAAAGAAATGCCAAATATATATGCGTACAACTAAAGATTGGTGATTCACACCGACATAGTCGCGTTGAAAAAATATATGTTATACTTAACGGTTCCACAGGTCCGCAAAGGTTATCTATATCGATATGACAGATTTTTCTGGGTTGTGGTACGTACCAGTTTCCTTACAAAAAGGATACAGAAAGAAATAATCTATCATTACCAGCCTAGTTTATGGCCTTTTAACATTAAGAGTCGTTGTAAAAAATTTTTTAATATTAGCGTTAGTAAGATATAATGACAAGTCGTACGAAATTAGGTATAAGGTTTTGTGATACTCTCCTGCAAAAATATTGAAAGCAATATTGCTAAAGCAGTAGCAGATTTAAGTATAATCTGAACTTTTATCATCGGGGTCTTGGGGATAACCTTTATTAAACCGATTACTTTTTTTCTTTAAAATGGCAGAGCCGTTAAATAACTCTTGGAGAATGGCTAAGGGATTAGTTCAAAAGTCGGCATCTTTGGTGAAAAGATTTTGTCCCTCAATAAAATTATCGTCATTACAAATTAATTGGGGTATTTTTTCTTCTAATCGTAAATCAATATTCTCGGCCGTTTGTTCGATTAAGGTTTTAGTAAATTCTTTACAAGCAATCTCACTCTCCAAAGCCTCTTCGAATCTTTCTTCATTGGTGATTTCGTATTCCACTGTATCCATTGCAGAATCATTTCTCACGGTCGATTTTTGATTAACTTTGTATTAGCGATCGTCGAATCTAAGGGGGGTCTCACAAAGTGAGGAGGCTTCGCCTCTAATTTTACCAGAAAAAATAACAAAATAGCTTCAGTATACGGAACTTATGACCGAGCGGAGTTGCTTTGTTAAGTGTGATCTGGTAGTGCTAGAGTAACGTAATTATTTTTTTCAGAACTAGATCCGAAAGATTATGAATCGTAGATTCGCCTCTTATTTCGGAAGCAATAGTACTGTACGTTGTACCTGGGTCTGTTATGTAATACG